AAGCCCACGTCATTATTTTAATTGTCTTTTTAGACTTGGTAAGAACAAAGTTAAATCCAAAACTCGGGAGGAAATTTTGATAATGTCGTTGCGGCTTCTAGTAAAGTACCCCCAAACTTTTGCCACTCGCAGGACCTAAATTTACTTAAAATTAATGATCGAGGAATATCGATTTTGGAAAAAAATCGCTAAATTGTTTTGGTGCAAGCGTTGACCACCGACGTACAGATATACAGACTTTTGCCGTGAATTGATTTCGTGGTGTCAAGGACCCACAAAACAGCTGGATTTTGACTACACAACGCATTAGAGGAAGTAATTTACTATACATAGGAACAAGATTTGACCATCTCGTCGTTACGAAGTGAAGTTTCAAGTCACAATATGAAGTTTTCTGACGAAAATTCACCGGCCGGACGCAATTACATTACTTTTTTGTCTTACGAAGTAATGGTACAAAAGTGAAAATCCTAAAAAATCTTATACAAGTAAATACATGTGAAAAGTCTCCAATCCTGAATTGCTTGGTGCAAATGCCATCTCAATATCTTCAACTATTTAGAGAATATTCGAGGTGGTCGTTTTTATTAACGAACGCACAACATTTCTTGATCAATTAGTAATATTTATCTCAATGCCTCTCAGAGCGTGAAATATATAGTACGGCGGATCCTAAAAACGAATAGGAAATTGCGATTGGTCTTCACCGAAAATGTTAATTTATATATTTTCTCACGAAAAACAAAATAAATTAACTCAAACACGTATAAATGATGCACCATCTGGAAACAGGAAAGTCCTTTGGAAACGTCTAGGTGTATTAGAAATTTGAAAACATGTTTCCTAATCGTAAGAACAAAATATTTGTCAATTATGTGATGTTTCTCTTCAACTCTTAATACATATTAGCACAGAAGAATATTTAGAAGATTCAAAATACGTTTGTTTGCTTTTGGTGCAAGCTAGCGTACGTCTCTACTGCCATCGTCAATCGCGATTAGTTGAGATTACTTCACTAATGGTAACGACGCACACAATATCAAATTTGAGCTTATTATTTCATAATTATTTTAAAATGTGTGCCACGGATATATTTTTCAACACGTTTGGTCTTGTACAAATATGACTTGCGATGTATTTTAATAAACAAACACTGTAGGATACAACATTTTATGTATTTGTCTTCTCAGTCACTTTCTTTCTGCGTTGTTTATGACCAATAAACGAATCCCTGTAACTGCAAAAATTCAAAAGTGTTTTTTGGGAAGATAACTGTATTTAAAAAATATAATACAATGAACATATTTCTTGTATGTTTACTGTTCAAGGAGACGTGACCTTCAACCCAATCCCAGCGATAAAAGTCTATACACGACAGATTTATCTAATCAGAACGAAGAATTTCGATGGATATTTTAAAAATATTTTTTCCAACATTTATTGAATCATGGTGTGTATATTTTGGTGCAAAAAATGTACACTTCTTGAGGTGCAATTTCGACTTAAGTAAAATGATATCACCAAGGTACTTCACAGTCCTAAAATAGTTACCATACCAGACGTGCGCCAAAAAGAGTATGTTCCCCATCTTCTCTTATGGTCTTTTGTAAAGAGGTATCCGTGTCCACCAAAAAATTTCAAATGTACACGAATAAGCGTTCCCGTTACGATTTCTTTAGTTCACATTTAATCGGCATTACGAATCTTCAGAATACCTGACCTTATAAACCATACATTCTTAGAAGGTAGCATTACATAATGAGTGTCCCCAAAACACTTCCATCTGATCGCCCAGGGTAATCTGGACCTCACCAAGTGAGTCGATACATTCGCGATTAAGAGCGCCTCACTAGAGTGGCATCAAATATGTTACTACACATTTGATTCAGACCACTTCTGAAACTAGTGATGCTAAAACAGCACGCACTTTCGCGTCCGTATTTTGGCGCTAAAGTAAGTACTCAAATTTTCGAAAAATTATACATGACCTTATATTAAAATCTACCTTTAAGGAACTTATTGCATTAAGAGAAAAAATCTATATCTTTAATGTTTTAGTTGGAGGAAGATGCCGAAAACATGTTGAAGTCGCAATTTTCGAAAACTCGGATTTTTATCGAACATGAGACCTGTACCATTCTCTTAAACGATCTACCGAAATCAAACGATCTACCCAAATATTAATTGATCTAAACGAAAACCAACAACAAAATTTAATCATAAACGATGGAGCCAATCTTTTAAAAATTTTGACAATGTCCCAAGGGCTGCATATAAAGATCCCGAAAAATTAAAATATGGATTTCAAATTCATGGGGCCGCAATATCAGCAAGATCGATTTGGGAAAAAAATTGGTTGGACTAGCGTTGTGCACAGACGGACGGGGAGACGTTTTGGCGTAGTTCGATCGTTCGGTATCAAGGACGCACAAAACATGCATTCTGGCCACACCACGTGTTAGAGGATTTTTTCTAAATTTAGCAACTGGATTTATCCATTTTTTCATTACTAGGGCTCTGTAATAGAGTTTTCTGCCGAAAATTCGCCGTTTTTTCGCGGCAGTATTGTATAACTTTCTCTCCACTCCGTAGCGAGAGAGTAAAAATTATTTTTCAGTTCTTTCAAAGAAAATGTTTAGACCACTGTAAGTACAGCTAACGTTTTGATTCTACCACCCAATAAAGCGATTGACTGTCCAATGCTCATTTATTGGCAGTTCCGTTATTGATCTGGGGTATCCTCTTCTATTTCATTGTGATTTAGAACAAAAAGCTTGTCAGTTCCCGAGAGGCGACGCAACAATAAACCATTATGCCCGAATAATTGCCCTCTCGTATTGATGTGCACCTACTGCATCGTTTGCGCATGAAAGGTCCCGCGGTCTGCTCTTTTGCGGATCGAACGAAGCGGCGGTTTGAAATTAAAATTCGGCGGATGTCAACACCGGCACCGCTTTTGTGAGAAAATGAACGCAGCGTGTTTTATTGCTCTTTACACTACTAATTTTTGCTAATTCACAGGAAATTGCGGACTTTACGTTTTTTGTGTGTTCAGGAAAGATGACTGCACGGATATATTCTACATTGGAGTGTGTGAAACGAATATCCGTAATAGTCTTCAGCCGTCGCACACTGACATATTTCCCAGAATGCGCGCGCCTCCTCCACAAATTGCGAATAATATTTTTATTATTTTATTTCACCTCTGCTCCGAGTAAGTTGGGTAACGTTTATTACCTTTGTCTCCGACAGTTTTATGCCACCCTCCAAGTGTTTGAACAAATAAATTAATGTTGATAACCGAAGAACCAACTTTTTTCAATTGGACAGACTTCTGTAAGTTACATAAAGTGATTTGAAAAACATGAATGTATCTACCATTCAGTTACGGATTCAAAGCGGTAAACTCACGGTACTTAAATCCCAGTGGCAAGCCTAAGGCTTGTCTGAGCAATCTCCTCCCGTACACCTATCGATTAGTTTGTTTCGTTTTTGATACTTTTAATGTCTATAATTGAAACTTCGGTACTCTCCAATCCTATGGGAGTCCATCGTTTGTTTGAGCCATAAACTGTCCTATTCTTATGAGAATGGGTTGGTTAGTTTACATTTTGATTTATATATTATATATTAGATCGCAAGTTAAAATTGCGACGCTCTCACTCAACACGTGATAAGCCAATGTCTTGCTTGAGCCTTAATATTCTTTCCTAACCTGACAGGCTTGATTTATCTTAATATTTTGATTTTTGTAAATTTGTCTAGCGTAGTGCGATGGTTAATGAAAGAGTGGATGTGTGGAAGGTTTATTTCGCACACCGCTGAAACCTTAAGATCGTTCAGTGGGGCAGTTACAATGGAATGTGTGTATATGTATACTCATATTAATTAGCATACCTCGTAACTTCAGAGTGGACAGTTTCGCAATGTACAGAATAAACAGTCAGGAAAAAGAATTTTATTTTAATTTCTTGTTGAAAATATGCATAATGGGGAACATAATTATTTAAGATGATCGATTTGTTATTTACTTATAGCTATTATCTTATAGAGTCAGTGGAAGCAGAAAATGTACCGCTTAGCAGCACAGAATTAGTTTCCACATGCAACCCTTTGCGAAACGAAAGTTACGTTGTATGCGGGCGCTTAAATAAGTTACTCTCCGCGGAGAATTGTTCGTTACAGTTCTCAGTCTATAACTCATAACACTCGATTCGAGAACAATACGAACAATATTCTGCGGTTATAGCATGATTACTACACTCTTGCAGATATATTATTAAGATATATCTGTGCATCTTTGCAATTGTGATCGCCTTAAGTAGGATTTCAAAGTTTTACGATGGAAGATATTTTACGAGACGTTCGGCAGCCCATACACCACGGATGTTTTTAACTCTGAAAACTGGCTTGGCTGCAGGTCGTGGAAAACTCGCGCTATGGGGTTAGTTTTCCAGGAGGAGACTAATCAACCAATTGAATAAAAGAATTGAAATACGAGGGCGAGACGCCGAAATGCAACAACCGTCACGTAGAAAGACGTGGGCATGATTCTCAGGCGATTGCGCTATTCGATAAACAGGTGTGAGGAACAGGGACATGAGTCGTTACCCGCGCATCCATTAGCAAGGCTGCGAGGGCCTGCGAGGACGTGTCGTACTACATCTTACCACAAAGCGAATGACTGCGAATAAAACATTAATGATAGAATGAAATGTATGCTGAAAGACTCTCATATACTCTACAGTAAATTAACAGAATTAGGATATGTGTATATGTGACTGTTTTACTTGGGATTGATCAAAATGTTTAGGATTACTACTACTCTCTACTCTCGTACACAGATCGACTTGCTTTGTATTATTATTTTGAAAATTTTTAGATGTTCATGATTAAATCTGCTGTTCTCCTGGCCTGCCCAGCCCACGACTGCTTGAACCATAACCTCCTCACATACCCAGATCGGCTTGTTTAGTTTCATTTTTTCTCCATTTCCATTAATGAAATGCGGAGCTCCCTCCCGGTCTGCGGCTAGCGCTGAGGCCACGGGGGGCTTTGTGGTGTTTCCCGCAGAGTTCGCACACAAGAAATGTGGCGCGGACGGTCGCTGGGAGGGGCGGCCTGGCAGTGGGGGCGGCGGCGGCGGAAGCGTAGGTGGCGGAGGAGCCACGGGCGGCGACGGGCAGCCTGGCGGCGTTGGCGGCGGCGGCGGAGGCGGCAGCGGTGGCGGCGGCGGTGGAGGAGGCACGGTGCTCGACGTGAGTGCCAGCGGTTCGGCCGCGCCTCAAGTGAGTACTGATCGAGGGTGATGCGAACTTGGAATTTATTTCGATTTTCCCTCTTTCATGGTGTTGTGATGTAAATAATAATAATGTATCTACATTTTGAACCAAATCGAGATTATTGACCTTATCAACGAGAGGGGATAGTTTTTTTGTATATTGCAAGGGATTGAAAAATCGACAAATTTGTTATGTTTATGTAATTGATTATTTAGAATTTTCGGGACGAGGCAATTACAATGGAAATGTCTAAACTGTGTTGTCCGTACCGAATATTTTTATAATACTACGGCACTTATTCCCGAAAGGATAGTAATCATTTTATCCCTAGTGTTTCTCGCTGGAACGAGAGATCTCTCGCCAACTGCTAGAATTCTCCCCCTGACGGTAGCTGAGTTACACCAGCAGTTACACCCCTGACAGTTACACCCAGCTGGGTACTCGTAAGTTTGCGATACGTAAATGACTTAGTGATAATTAGGCAACACTGTAAGACATGGAAAAAGCATTGCAGAACTTATTGGAAGGAGCTTAAGAAATGGGTTTAGAAATAATTGAAGAGAAAACAAAACATTTGCAAACATTAGGAAAATGTATTAGTAAATCAAAATATGTGAAGTTGAACAATATTGAATGGGTGAATGACATAGAATACTTAGGTTCCCGAATCACGAATAACGTTATAGACGTTAGACGTAGGACATTAAGAAGAGAATAACGGTAGATAATAGATATTATGGTAGTTTCTACTATATCTTTAAAACACGAAGAAACTCGAAGTTCGCTAAGTTGAAATTATATAAAACCATTAAGCCAATGGTATTGTACAGTAGTAAAATTTCTCTAACAAAGAAAAGCAGAAGATAGAAGAATTATGGCAGTTCTAATAAAAGAATCCAAGGCAAAACTATGAGTGCCGGAGGGCTGATACGACAAAAATATGTATTCGTATGTACTGTCGAAAATCCGTTCCCATCGAAACTCGAATCCTACAACTCCCCGGTTTATTCGCGGTGATACAGAGGCAACGTCAACGAACCATATCACAGACTGCCAAGACGGGAGGTGGTGCTGATAATTCACTTGTACATTACGGCTAATGCCGTTCGTTTCGTGTTAAACAGCCGTTCACATGTCATTTCATCGCGAAACATGAAATCGTCCCTTCGGAATGACAAGGTTCCAACAGACAGAATCGAAGAAAAGGAGTAGTGCGACACGATTCTACCTGACTTCTGCTTAAGAAGAACATACTCGTGCTGCAATCTATGAACAAATACCTAATGTAAAAATAACTTCTGTACTAAGTGGTTAGGCGGAAGATTCCTATGGCCTGAGGTTCGCCAATAATAAAGGCATTATTATTATTATTATTATTATTATTATTATTATTATTATTATTATTATTATTGTCTTACATTATTCACAGTATCTACTGGTCGGTATGTCAACCACACACAGAGGTATGATGACCAGATGTGTGGTTGCTTTACTGAAGGTTCAGATGGCTTCTGACAATACGGCATGTATTCAAAATTACTGTCTTTTGCATATTATATACATTCCTGGTATCCAAGTGAAGACACTCCAGTGCCCGAAGTGTCATTTTCGGGATCACTCCCGTAGCTGATATTATTATAGGCACAGTCGTCACTTTACTGAAGTTCCACTGAGTTGCGACTTCATAGGCGAGATTGGTATACTTCTGGATCTTCTCTTGATATTTTCCCGATATGTTGTGGGTATTGGGTATTGATATATCGATAAGGAAAACCTGCTGTTGGTTTCTATCAATGTACGTTATATCGGGTCTATTGCCGCCGACATGTCTGTCAGTGATAATGGAACGATCCCAGTAGAGTGTGTGCTCACTACTTTCAAGCACATTCTGAGGCACATATTTATAATAGGGCACGGAAGTGGCGAGTAAGCCCGTTCTCAACGCCAATAATTGGTGTACCTGCTTCGCCACTTCATCATGCCTCTTTTTGTATTCCACCTGTGCGTGGCTGCTACATCCACTTGTCACGTGTTGGATAGTTTCGCTTGCAGTCTCACATCTTCTACACGAGTCGGAATGAATGGTAGAATCTCTCAGAATGTGTTTTCTGTAGTTCAATGTTGGTACCACTTGGTCCTGTATAGCTATCATGAAGGCTTCTGTCTCCGGAAAGAGATCCCCGTGCTGGAGCCATGCGTGCGACGCAGAGATGTCGACTTCTGGTTTACTCAGCTCGTGAGGGTACCTTCCATGCAGTGCCTTTGCTTTCCATAAGGTTATCTTCTCTTCCGTTTCAATGATTGGTTGAACAGGCGGATCAAGCTTTTTCAAGTTCAGAGGACTATAGTTATCAACTGCGCTCACTGCTTGCTGAACTCTCCCACAATGTTCCAAGAAGTATCTTCTGAGTGAAGCAATTTGAGAGCTGTGTAGATTTATGAGATCTACAATACCTCGCCCTCCTTGCGACCTTGGAAGGGTAAAACGCTCAGTACTTGAATGGGGATGATGTTTTCGGTGTTGAGTCATAGCGGTTCGAATTGTTCTCTGGAGGTTGTCGAGGTCGGTATTGCTCCATTTAATAACGCCAAAGGAGTATGTCAGCACTGGAATAACAAATGAATTAATGGCCTGCACAAGGTTTCTAGCAGAGAGTTGAGTTTTTAAGAGCCCATGCAATCGTTTACACACTTCATTTGTTAGTATATTCTTAGTAACAGTGTGTTTGATTCGGAGTGACTGTTGGAAACCCAAGTATTTGTAAGTTTCATGGGGTTCCATGAAGGTAATCTTTGGTTCATTATCAGTTTCCAAATTTATAACTTGCATATGACCGCGAATGATATTCACTCTCCTGCACTTATCCAAACCGAATTTCATCTTAATGTCGTCAGTGAACTTCTCCGTCACGTTTATTAGTTGCCGCATATGACTCTCAGTGTCTGCATAGAGCTTCAGGTCATCCATGTAAAGGAGATGTGAGACACGAAGAAGAGTTGAGTTCCCCTTTTTAAGAGCGATTCCATAATTAGATGAATTAAGTAGAGTAGAGAGGGGATTCAAGACTAAACAGAACAATGAAGGGCTTAAAGAGTCAGCCTGGAAAATCCCTCGGCGGATGTGTATAGTATCTGTGTGGACGGATTGTTTTCCATTAGAGAGATACAGTTTTGTATTCCATCGACTCATCGCAGTTTTCAGGAAGTTTTGGATAAACGGGTGGACCTTGTATACATCCAAACATTGAAGGAGCCAAGAATGGGGCACGGTGTCGAATGCTTTAGCGTAATCTATGTAGCATGCGTACAAGTTTCTTTGTTTTTCAAGCACTTGCCCCATAATTACAGAGTCTATAATGAGTTGCTCCTTGCATCCCTGAGATCCAGGTCTACATCCTTTCTGTTCATTTGCTAAGATGTTCTGTTCCTCAATGTGTGTCATCATCATTTGTGAAACACAAGATGTTATGAGTTTGTAGAAAGTTTGAAGGCAGGTTATAGGCCTGTACTTCGAGGGGTCTTTAGTGTCACCCTCCTTTGGTAACAAAAATGTTCTACCTTCAGTGAGGAAGTGAGGTAGATTTTCTGGATTGTGAAGAAAATATTGAATTATATTAGCTATATGATGGTGAGTGCTGGTAAATTTTTTGAGCCAATAATTGTGGAGGCCATCACTGCCTGGTGCCTTCCAGTTATGTGCTTTGCTCAAAGCTGCTTGGACAATTTCCATGGTGATGATTGGTTCACACATTAGAGGGATATCTCGGTGTCTGTCATATTCCATTTCAATCCACGTCATATCTGGGTTGTGGGACACAGCAAATGACCAGATAGGCTTCCAAAAGTCCTCTATTTGTGCCTTTGAGGGAAGCTTTGACTCTTTCATATCATTTACAAGCCCTTTGCCCTTTGACATATTCCTGTAAAATGCTTTCTGGTTTCTGTTAAAAAGAGAATTCTGTTGCTTCCTCGTAGTGCAATTCCTTTAGCGTCGAAGGCGTTTTGTTAACGCCAAAAGCTTTTGTCGTAGGGTGTCAAGATGTTCTGTTATTGTTGAATTCAAGGGCTCGTGCTTCGTATGAATTTTTGTATTGATGAGGATGTTATTCACCTTTCTTCTCAGTTTTTCTGAGATATTTCCATTTTTAAATTGTGTGAGTCTCCCAATATCTCTCCTAGTGCTTTCTATACGATTCACCAGCCGTCTTTCCCAAGGTGGCATTCTTTTTTCACTTCGATCATGTGGGAAGTTGCTACGCGGCTGAAAAGCTTGGAACCGTTACCGAAGCCACAACCGCAGCACAATAAATTGCTGTGTGTACTTCTTCGAAAGATGGTCTTTGTTGTAGATGTTGTGGCAGTACTTTCTCATTCAAGACGCTGATTGCTCTTGTGCTATTATTATTATTATTATTATTATTATTATTATTATTATTATTATTACTAATATTATCACTTAGATCGAGACATGACAGAATAATGAGTTACTGAATTTTTGACTTCAATCTAGTCGAAACGACTGACATATTAAAATCTCGTCATCCCAAAGGTAAGGAATGTCAGTTACCGCTATTTACGCCCGAATGACTTATTGGACCCACTAGTCGGAGCGGTTCCAAAGTGGGGTTATTAGATGGAGTATTTGGGAGAGGCGTTGCTTCTCTTTTTGAAAAACGGTAAAAATAATTAAATTCAAAGTATATCTATGCAAAATCCAGTCGGAAAGTGATCATAAGACTCTCAGGGATCTCAGGGAATAGTAAGGGATCACCTAGGCAAAAAGCCGTTCATGGCAAGCTTTTTTGTTTTCAAAATATATGTTAGAAATGTTTGAGGGCTAATTTTGCATAAAACGTTGAACAATACTTCTTTTCTTATGGTTCGAAGGATAGTTTTATGCAAACAGGGAAGATCCTGGCTGCATGCCCTCTTAATAAGTTTATCAGCAGTTCTTCCTGGAATCGCTTGTGCACTGCTTCTGCGATTGTTCATCTCGATGTCTTAAACTAGTAAATGTTATCCCCTAATCTTAAATAGAACATTTTGACATTTCTATCAACACGAATATTTATTGATAAATACATTATATATTTCATACATTATATATATTTGCAAATCATTTACTCCGTTATGAGAGCAGAATTGAGAATGGAAACGCAAATAACAAAGGACAATAAAACGGTGGAATGCAAATTCAGCATAAAAATTCATTCAAAATAAAAAAATAGAGCTTGACCTACATACACTCGAATAATGGCATTCAATCGTAATCGTTTTACCTTTTGCGAGAGCCAGAATTCCTCATATTTCACGAAGCAGCAGCAACAGAATTTTTTATTCCCAGTCTGTCTTTATTATGAAGCTTCTGTCTAATACTGTAAAGTTAACTTGTTTTTAGTTACTGCAATTTTATCTTGTGGGAGGCAACAGTTCAAAACAAATAATAATTTAACTCCAGAATTCATTTAAGTTTAATTCGACGTAATTCTTAATTTTTAAAATTTTTTCAGTGTCCACAAAATGAAGGATGTATCAAATACTACTGAGTTGTTCGAAAAAAGAAGAAAACAAATGACACATAAAAATGTTAAAGTAACTAACATGATTGTTTCAAAGGGCGTCCTATTTTATTTAAGAGATAATACATTTTGATGTGTTGTTCTTCGCTTCTCTTGCTTTGTGAACTCATTAAAAGTACAATAAATATTATTAATTAATTTCTTTATTTTCCATATAATTTATTCTTCTTCAATCAATATTATAATACCAAGATTTAATTTTTTAAAGTGAAACGTTTAGGACTCAAATACCTACAGTATTAAAGCATTACAGTCTTTCAACGTGTACTGAAGTTGTTACTTAGTATACTAAGTTAATAAATACTGCCGAATTTCTTAATTTTAATAAACAATTCCTGTTTATTTCATGCATTTTAATTCTTAAATTATGAACAGCCTCACACTTGGCAGCCTCACACCTGGCCTCACAGCCTTCTTGATATGATATAGTAATGGAAGTACGGGCGGCGTGTTTATTAATTTTTCACAATGGAGAAGAGAAAGTGAACATTCGCTACTTTCCAAACATAACTATCCCATGAAATTGCCGTAAATGTTTTGGATTTGGAGGGAAAATAAGACTCTCGCAAACTATGAGGGCGTAATTTTGACAGAGGCTCAAAATAGTGTAGAAAACTGCATACTTTCTGAAAAAAATGGGCTGCGCGAAAATATTTTGAGTTACATTGAAATATAAAATAGGGACAGTAAAGAATCATTCAAACACATTCTACATGCTTCATTTCCTCTGTAATCATATCTGAGTATTTACTACTAGTATAGGCAACATTTTGCACGAATCAAAACAAATCACGATAAAAAAAATTCAATGAATGGACATCTCGTAGCAGAATTGATCTAGCTAAGAACTAAAATTGATAAAAATCCTTAATAAACGACAGTATTTGATTAACATCATTTAAATTCTCACGTTTATAGAATGATTCTTTTATTCACATTCAAATTTGAATATCATATTCATGTGCATGAACAGTAGGTACAAAAATAACTTGTGACTTGTGACTTTTTGATGCCTCCCGACTCGATTTCTCAGAGCCCATCTAAAAGATGCATTTATGAATGCAGAGAACAAGGACAGAATGTTGTTTACAGTCCCGGAAATGGAAAAGTATTTGCATCTGGAAGGAAACACTAGAAGCTTCATTCTCCGGAGAGAAACCAACGAACGAGGTCCTCATGCATTTAAAAGAATCGCAACATTAAATTTTTATAATGCACAGAAATACCATAGGTGGAAATGCAGAACATTGTGGCAGACATAAATCTATATTCCATATTGTGTCTCAAGGCATAGAGTTCACTTTCACCTATTAAGACTCTCAAGTTTCATTAAACTAAGGAGGAAAAATCGCTTTTAGACGCAAACATATGCTTCTGGGAAATGTTCATATTTTCCCCTTATATTTCCCACTCCTTTCAATTATTTCACAGCTCCATATTGCTGAACATGTTTTTACTATGGTACCAATATTACAGTGATCTGTATCAACAAAGCAGTTCCAAACATTGTAAATTATTCATTTATTTACCCACGATAGGGGAAAGCCCCGAACACAGCAGGTATTGCTGAAAAATCACAGAAATCAACGAAGAGAGATGATAATTACAAAAAATATTTTAAATATACAGTTGAAAGGCAAAAAAAAATAACAGATAATACAAAAGAAATATACAAAATTAATTAATCATGGTACACCAATAAATTACAACAAAAATGAAACACAACCTTAAAATACTCAGTAACATAATAATGAGTAATATGACAATTACTAGCGATTAATGCTATACGATGAATGCTATAATTATACATTCAAACGCGTATGATCAACCGGACACGCAGATCTTCTGTCAAATTTCATTCAGAATTTATATTATAAAATAAACCGGAAAACTTATATTTCAAACGAATTTTGTAACTCGAACTTCATTCCTTTGTACCCTGAATAATTTTGCTTACACTTTTGTAGGAATACTTTCAGGTTATGGAAAAATCTCTTGACCAATTTTTAACACCTTTGTAGTCGTAAAGCTTATATTCTTGAGTATTTCAATATTGCAGTTTCTTAACAAATTGAAATAAAAATTGATAAATTTTGTTAAAGAACTTTTCTAAAATTGTTCAGTTTTACCGACTTGACGCAATCAAACTGAGGAACGAAAAGCCAACCTTTAACGGCCAGTGTCCGCTAAGGAATTTACAATCCACCATCCGTTACGAACAATCTAAACATGGGAGTTGAATCTAAATGGCGAAATACTCCTTCTCTAAGAAAAAGGTATTCATTATTTATATTTTTCTTCAGTAGGTGGAATTACGAAAGTATTCAATAATACTCGTCCGCTATCACAAATAATGGACTTGGTTAAAAGCCTAGGGTATTTCATCGGTTTACAAACTTCAACTGCGTCAGTTATTTGCTCTATGTCAGCCTAATGATGTTAATATTAATAAGGCAACCAAACAATGAAACGAAACCACATTCTTAACGGCCGTTAAGAGTTTAACAGTCCGTCGTCAGTTAATAACAATCGAAACAAATGGTTTGTAGCTAAAGATGCAAGATGAAAAGTCATGCTGCAAGAAAAGGAATTTCTTTATACGAGTATTGCTTTATTCTTGTAATGAAGTAGTATTTCGAAAAATATTACGCGAAATACGGCTCACATCATAAATAACATATTTGACTGACTGTGACTAAAATTCATTATCTGCTCTAGAATTGCCTTATGGCGTCAAGGGTGTTTTTACAAGACAAGACATCCATGCCGTAGTTCGTAATCATTAGGCAATAACATACCTTAAGAAAAATGAGTTTTTGCAAGTCGTATAATCGAACCATACGTAAAACTAGGAACTAGTTGGAATAGAAAACTTCGAAAAGTACATAAACACTTTTATTGTACATCTGTGCATCTTCTGACTATTTTGGCACTTAAAAGAAATACAAGGATTAATACGTATAATACATGTAAACTGATTGTATCAGACGAATATGTAATATACATCTCTTTATCTCTAATTTTACTGCAAACATATTTTTATTGTTTATATGAGGAATGCGAAAGTATGGCAATTATATCGTTCTGTTGATAAATTAACTAATTTTTCGTGGCACTGTAGCCGCAATTCTTGTACACGCATATATTCCAAATCCTAAACAAATACGTTAGTTTATTGCTAACACACTTCAATTACCTTGAGTAAAGATTAACCATAAGCTTCCTGCCATATACTGATACAATGGATATTGTCCTTTTCAGTATTATTTTGCTTATTGTGTATTAGTGTCGAATTCTTGTTTCGTGGTGACGGCGAAAACCACGTAATGTGTAAGCTAAGAACACACTTGCCATAAACAACAAAACAGAAAGAATAACGGAATTGTTGAATGTCGGCGCATGCGCAGTAGAATTCTCTTGCATTACATCTTTCAAATTGGCGACTTGCCAAATCCCTCTAATAATAATAATAATAATAATAATAATAATAATAATAATAATAATAATAATAATAATAATAATAATAATAATGATGATGATGATGATGATGATGATGATGATGATGATGATGATGATGATGATGAAGTCTTTATTAATGGCGCGGTGGGCGCAGGGCTGGACCAACTACACGCCGTGCTTCCGGCCCGAGGTGCTGGTGCTGATGAAGAAGCTGCTGGCGGGGCCCGTGGAGGCGGCCGCCACCAAGCTGGCCATCGCCGCGCGCACGCGCACCCTCGAGATCGTCGGGCTGAGCGTGTCGCTCGCCGCGCTGCTGCTCTCGCTCGCCATCTTCTGCCGATTCCGGTGAGCCGCCGCCTCCTTCCTACCTCTCTCTGCTCCTCTCTCCTCGTCTACGCGATCATCCTCCTTCGCGTTCTTTGTCGTCGTTTCTTTCCTCCACTTCTTCCCATCGTTTCGTTTATCCACTTCTTCCCACCGTTTCATTCCTCCACTTCTTCCCACCGTTTCCTTCCTCCACTTCTTCCCACCGTTTCCTTCCTCCACTTCTTCCCACCGTTTCCTTCCTCCACTTCCGCCCGTTTCATTCCTCTTCTTCCCACCGTTTTATTCCTCCTCTTCTTCCCACCGTTTCATTCCTCCTCTTCTTCCCACTGTTTCATTCATCTTCTTCTCCGTCTCATTCGTCTTCTTCTTCTCCGTCTCATTCATCTTCTTCTTCTCCGTCTCATTCATCATCATCTTCTCCGTATCATTCATCTCCTTTTTCTAAGACTCAGTCATCATCTTCTGTCTCATTCAACTTCTTTTCTTCTTTCCAGTCTCATACTACTTCTTTACTCCTTCCCCGTCTCATTATTCATCTATTCTTCTTCCCCGTCTTATCCTTCTTATTTCCTTCTTCCCTGTCTCATTCTTCTTCTTTTCTTCTCCGTCGCATTCTTCTTCTTTTCTCTCCCGTCTCATTATTCTTCTTTTCTTCTCCTTTTTTATGCTGCTTCCTTTCTACTCCGCTTCATTCTTTTTTTTCATTCCCGTCTCATTCATCTCCTTATTCATTTCATTGTCCTCTTACTCCTCATTTTTTACACCTTCTTTAAAGACTTCTCTTCATCAATCCCCCTTCCTCTTCATTCTCTGTCTCCTCATTCTGCTTCTACTCCTTTACCCTCTCATTCTTTTCCTCGTCTATCCTCCCATTCTCCTCATTTCCCGTATTTTTCTTCTTCTCCTCCTCCTTCCTTTCACACTGCTTTCAATCTGCACACTAAATGTAATTTCTCTTCCTTCAGAATGACATATTAGTTTTTACTCAGTTACATTAAATTAATTATAACCTAATAGTTATTTATGTTAGAAGGTCGAAAAATGATTTTGAAGTTGGTAAACTAATCGAGTAAAAAATCATTCAATTTTAGCCGAGATCCATACAAGAATTTTTCCTAAACTCACCTCCCAATTTTAGGTTTCAATTTTTAAAGAGAACTCAATTATACCATGCGGTTTTGTCGTATAGATGCAGATGTTCTTCTACATAATCGCCTCTGAAGTTGTCAGAACTGTCACAGTCGTTAAAGAATGTACAATTTGCAGCTGCTTTTGGTAATTTGTTTCGTAAGTAAGGAGTGCGATATTTCAGAGGTTAAAAATTAAGGAAGCTGAAGCTGCTATTGAGAGTTTACTTCCTCAAAAAATCAAAGGATTCCTTCGAAAGAGAGTATGAACTCTTTAAAATGGGAAAAAGAGAAACGTAACCGTGGTAAATGAAACAACTACGAGTATGCTGGCGTATATCTACGAAAAGGTATTACTTCAATTTCTGTTGAAACTCCTAGCACTAGTGCTCAATGCACAGAAGACGTAACAGTTCCAAGTATAATATTTCAAAATATATCAAATTGTGTTTTTAATATAAATGTTAACAATAAATAAGTTTAAAAAATTCTTTATTTGAAAAATAATAAATATTCTTTGCCACGGTTCAACAACATTCAACAGTCATTTCAGTCAACAGTCATTTCAGTCAACAGTCATTTCTTTATTGTCTTGTTTACTTGACGTCATAGTAATCGTCCCCTAAAATTTATTCTTGGCTTAGGCAGCCAAACCTCACCTTTGGCGTTTAAATGCCCTGCCAAATACGTGCTTTAAAGTGAGGATACCAAAAATAAATTTTAAGCAAATAGAGACCATTGTTGCATTATATTTCGGAAAGACCCTTGAATAATGTTGAAAATCAATTGAAGGAAGGGCTACTTGGGATAACATTTCACGAATTTACAGCACGTCCAACGTAGGTATGTATCTCCATGAACAATTCTTTACAACAATAAATGCAATTATAACAATAGAAACATTGTTTCCTGCTGTCATCAATTAGCCGAACCCCAATGGTCCTTCCTTCAATTGATTTGCCAATACATAATTAGTAAATAATAAATAAACGTTAAAAATAATGATATTGAATTACAAACGAAAAAAGCAATACAACTCCATACGAGTATACATTAATTCAAAAGTCCGTGAAGAATCGATTCAGAAAACGTATCTGGCAAAGTTTCATTTACTAGTGTCCTCATAATTTAATCCCGTAACTACCAATCACTGCGTTACAGTTTAACAGAAACAATGTAATGCAGTTCTAATCTTGCAATGCGTTTTCTCGACTCAATGCATCACGACAGCATTGAGAGGTCTGCGCCACAGAATACTGCATAACATGCAAAATTGTGCGGCCATAAAGATAAATAGAAGCTCAAAGATGGTACAGTGGCAAATGGCATAAAGAATATATGCAATACCGAGTAAAGAGACATCGTTTGATTCCATTCAGTAAAATAAAAGCAATGCTTGAAAGCACTTCGGTTAAAATCTTACATGAGAACTAACGGTGAAAGAAAGATACAAAATTCGAAAGTGAGGTGTAGCTTGTGGTAGATTTATAAATAAAAAGATTACAGAAATTTACTTTTTGATTATTGCAGTGCAGAACAAAAAATACAATACACTTGTACTTATATTGTAGAATTATTCTAGTTTTGCGAAATTAGTAATATGGTTCGCACCAAAGCATACTGATTCATAATTTGCCATAAATTAATACACCTTCCAAACAAAATACCACAAATATGATATAAGTACTAGACATGCAGCAAAAGCCATCTATCAGACATGTTTTGCAAACGAACCCAAATTCAGTGTTTCTTTTCAATTTTTTGTTTTTCACTATGAATATATTTGCTTTTTAACTCAACTAAATTGAAATTATTTAAAATAATCGTGGATTAATAATATTTTCAAATATAACTATTTCACATTCACAATATTTTCAAATATTATTATTTACATTACGTGAGCGTTTTCCTAACCTCCTAAGTGTAGTACGCATCAGCTAACTTTCCAGATGATACAAACAGGTATACTAGTTTAGATCGTTTTTAAAACTACATTAATGAGAAGTGTAGTAAATACCACAACAATATGTTGAATGACACACCGATACAAATGTACACAAAACTAAACTGCAGCTTATTACTTTTGAGTAAAAAAGTTATTTACGATTCGAATTGTAAACGTGACATTTTATTTAGTGAGTAGGAAAGGTTTGCGACAAGATGCAGATAAGTCAAGTACAGCTACGAGTAAAATAAAAATCAGTTACCATGTGTGTCACACTATTTTACAGACTGCCTTACTTTCATTTTATTTTAATTCAAGTACGAAAACGACTTAATTATGCAATTTTGTTTTCCTTGTCGCATTCATAGATTTATCTGAACACTTGAGCATCGTCTCAGTTCTATGCATGCTCTGAAGAAACTGGTTTTACTACTGGCTGTCTACAGTAATTATAGAAGTGTAATTAAAGAAAACCAGGTATTGACGTAATCCATGTCCACAATTATCATCTTCTCTTCTGTTTCTTTGGTGGGTGAGGGTAAACGTAAGGGAAGTGAAGGGTGTCCCCTCCCCACTCCATGACCACAACATGCAGACAGATCGTAATTAATTTGACTTACCCAATGCAGATCCACCCACGCAGACGTGTGTAGATGTGTGATCAGTTCACCAACAACTTTGCGGAAGCAGCCTCCCGCCATTTCATTTCCACATACCCGAGTTCCCGTCTCACATGAAAACAATTGCCGAACTACACTGGCATAGTAGGTTCTTTCACGACCCGAATGTAATCACGTCTCTCTTTCACAAATAATTAAAGTATCCTTGTACGCAAATCATTAGCAAGAATGATAATTAGTTCGATTTTTACATCTTCACTCGTATTCAACTCTTAGAATATTTAACGGCTCCGAATACAATACGTCCTTGCACTTAAAAATAGAACGCCCGTGCAGTCGATTCTCTCCATAGCTACGCCGCCCCACTTCCTAATAAAACACGCTACAAATCATCACAAAACTGCATTCACATGCACCTCACCATCCAACACTAACACACGCCACTCGAGAGTTCAAACACGCAACAGCAACAGAACAACACAGACAGCCAGACGAGCCGGGACATGCGAACTCTACCACAGCTGAACAGATACTGAGTCTACGAGTCCGTTACAGCAGACGACGACGTATTTTGTAAAGGGCCAATCACGAAACTTTTACATTATGAGGGACATTTTGTAAATATAAATTCTTTATTTTAATTGAACCATTTTGTCTATTTCAATCTTGTGTCATTCACGCATTTCTTTTGCATTACAATTGGATATTTACTAGCCCTCACACCTTCCCCTCCTCCGTTTTCACTACTCTGTTGTCTCAAGGCCAGCAAGCAGGGGTTTGCCTGCTGTGACGCGGTGCGCTAGCAGCGACGAATTCTTCATGGAATGTTACGCCGGTTGAAACGAAGTGTTGTTTAAAGATATGCAATCCCTAAAGCGGGGACGCACGTTCAAACTGTGATCTGAGATGCCTTTAAAGCATGAATAATCTTGTCATAATCCCCACTTGCGAGTCACAGCTGTAAGTGTTGCCTGAGGACCCAAAAGTTATAAAACATCTCAAAAAGGGCTGCAGAGATGCTGCAATAGCTGGCTGCGCAGTTTATCATATTGCCGTTATGGAAAATATGTGCAATTAATTTCAATTATGAGTCGTATACCGCCGTGAACTCTCTCTTTTTAAACGTATTGGCGGGCGTTCTGAGATAGCATAATGTGAGCTTCAGCGCTATTAAATTACGTTGCAAAAATGTTAACAAATTATTTTCCATTAATTTCTTGTGAAATGTATGGCCCTTCTCACAATCATTAGCTCTCTGCTAGAAGCGATGTCCAAAAACAGGACTGTCATGAATACATAATAACTACTGTTATTACTATTACACCA